GCAATGTCCGTCTGTCCGTCCGTCTGCCCGTCCGTTTCTACGCAAACTAGTCCCTCAGTTTTTAAGCTATCTGCTTGAAACTTTCCCAAAAGTTGTCTTTCTATTGCAGGTAGTATATAAGTCGGAACGAGCCGGATCGGGCGACTATATCCTATAGCCGCCATATAACTGGTTGATCGGAAATGCCATAACTTTGGTGTTTTTTATGTTAAGAAGTTGGGATTTTCTATGGGTTTTATTTGGCCAATCAAACCGACCTACCAAATTTCATAAGGATCGGCCGACTATATCTTATAGCTGCCATATAACGGAACGATTGGAAATGCCATAACTTTGGTGTTTTTAAAGTTAGGAAGTTGGGACTTTTTATGAGTATTAAGAATGCATCATATGAATAATTTTGAAGAATATGATTTACAGAATATTCTGCAAGGGTATATCAACTTCGGCTCCGTCCGAAGTTAGCTTTCCTTTCTTGTTGCTTTTAGGATTACCCTAATTTTTATATATAACACATTATTCAGCATGCAACGCATAACAGATGCTTATGTTAATGCGAAGAAAACAAACTTTGCCCTACAAATTCTTATTAGAGATTTATTAAGTGAAAGGGAAACCTAACTTGTTTATTTTATTTTATTTAATAAAATTTGTTTTGTTATTTATTTCTTTAATTGTGGACAAGCATGTGCCATTTATTTTATATACACGATTTATATTGTCATTTTAGGTATCTTACAAAATTAATGGAATTACATTGACACCTAAAATATGCATGCTTTAATTCTTGATTGAGGCAGGACGAAATGGTGGATTAATATAAATACTATGGAGAACGTAATATTATTTTTTTTCTTAAAACACTGTACACTGCCTCTATCGTTTCCACTTGGTTAGGTCCTCGGATTTTCAGTTGGCCATGTTGGTATTCCTGGCTGATTGCACAAACACTCATTTGAGCTGATGTCAATCCATCATTTGGCTTTAACACCATGATTTGTTTATTTGACGAGCTGCGCTAAGAGAAATGAAACACAATTGCCATTCGAGCTCCGCTGCTGATTGCCATAAATAAATAATTTTCAAATCAGATACCGGCCAAATTTCGGAAATGGATGGGATGGAAGTGGAGAAATGCTTGATTAGGCCTATTGTGTGAATAGTTTTGATATGTTGAAAGCAAGAAAGAAGGGAAGAAAAAGCTTGTTCTGCACTAAAATAAAGGCAAAATAAATCGTATTCGTAAGTGTAAACTCTTGTTTCTTGACACACCTGAGCTTCATCCGATAGGGTGGGCGTCCGTCTTTGGAATTTATGGCCCTATTTTTTAAGCTAATAAAACCGAGTGTACAACCAACAATATCCTATTTAATAAGCTCATAAAGTAACAGCTACTTAAAACTTGTTGTAAGCAGCAGCGACATCAATAAATGAACTCAAAAGAGCTGTCGAATAAGCCGTGAACGAGTTTCTTCCCCGCCGATGCCACATAAAAGTCAGTGCCACATCATCATCATCATCTCAGGCAAAATAGCAACCCCTGGAAACCGAAGGTCTGGCCTGTCTGTTTATAGAAATTAAATGACTTCAGACAAAATATGAAACATAAACTCAAGTCAACACATCGATATTGAACAGCGACACAATGACCTGAGATCCCCTTTTAAAGATCCCTCTACCCCCAATATTCATATTACCCGGGCCACATTTGTGGCTGTTTCCCTTGGCTTTTTAACACTTTCGCTTGACAAGGCATCCCCGCTTCGTGGGTATATTTTTAGTGTGATTTTAAAAATTTAAATTGTCGTAATCGTAAATTAATTTCATGGCACATAAAAATGCAGCATGCCATGCCCGAAAACACAACACAACACATACAATGTCTTTTGTAGCTATGCATGTTTTTCTGTCGACGAAAGGCCCAAATGATGCTTTGTTTTATAACGCAATATATTCAATATAAATTTTCTGATTTATTTGTATTTTGAGTGTGCTCAGTTGGATTTGATTGCCGATTTAAAAGTATATTCCTTAAAATGTTTTCATCAAGAGAAAAGCCAATGCCAGGAAAATATTTGTCCACCTAATTTCTGGGGCCAGAAAAATTATTAAAATTTGTATAATGCAATATTAAGGGGATGCATTAAAAAGTCATAAAAGCATTATATTCAACAGTATCTTAATGAGTCTTGTAAATAATTTTTGCCGTCGACATTCGACTACACACGAGTCGCCTGCAAGCGATATTTGTGTCAGTGGCTCGTAATAATTGCCAATCCAGACATACAAAAAACGGCAAAAATGTGTTGCAGTTTTATGAAGTTTTAAAAATACACATCAAGTACAATTATATGCACCACGAGAGGCAGGAAACGCCGTTCGGTAATTGTTTCCTCAATCTGACAAGCCAGTTGAAGGTGTGAGATCCCACTATTGAAGCCCCTATTGTTGATATTTCATCTACATATATGGCCTCACACAGTATTTATGATGAATTAGTGCAGTAAATGCAACTTGTAAATCTGTCACGCGTCTCTGTAAATCATTCTGCATAAGTAATGTGTAGTTAGCCCGGAGAAAATACACAGAATCCGAGAACGATACTCCCCTTGAACCACTTTGTCACTCGAGATACTCGTACTTTCGTCTGCAACATATGCCGGGAAATAAAGATGTCGGGGGAGTGTGAAATCATGTGCTCTGTGGTGGCTAAAGGCGGTCCGCGGGTAAATCTATGACAGAATACATGCAATCATGCAATCGGAGCGAAGACCCGAAAATAACTCCTCGCCGGGTCGGGGACCTTTGGCTTTATTTGCAGCTCTTTACTTCGCAATATTCCCAAAGGCTTTGGCACTAAAGTTCCTTTGGGTGGCGATCCCGCGGCTAATTAAAATCTTAATCAGGGTTTAACGGTAGTGCTTTGTGTGTCGAATTTGTTCGTTCAAATTAATTATGCTACACACAGAATACTGTAAACTTTTTAATACCATAAAAACCATAAAACCTGATATTATGAGACTATCATTTAATCTTTAGTTTTCTAAACCAAACATATTTATACCCTTGCATTGGTTATTATAATTTCAGTCGAAAGCTTGCAACACAATTTTAAAGATCTCTGAATGAAAAATTCGTCTTCTTAAGGTAGGATCGGAGGTCTTTATTATACAGCTGCCATCGGATCAAAATAAAGGATACAAAATCTTAGGTTGGTTCTTTTAGTTTAGTTACTTATATACAATTTCTTAAATTTGGTCTATGTTTTATAAAATTCGGGGGACTAAATAATTTAGCTCAAATAGGAACGATCAGACAATGAATAGGAAAGTAAAAGGAAAATTGCCATAACTTCATAGATCTTAAAAATATACTCATACAACTGGATATATGGTTTTTTAACAATTTTAAAAATACATTTGCAATTTTATAAAAATCAACGCACTATATCATATCTTAAAACCTAGACGTATATGCATGCAAATCAATATAAAGACGATTTATAAACTATTCAATTTGTTTTACAGCTGCAAAGTTTGCTTCCTTTCTCGTCCTAATTTTATGTTGTAAGATTAAAAGTGTCATTACAAATACAGTACAATTTTGACTAAAGCAAATTGTGAAAATTTTTCTATGAAAACAGTGTAAAATATATTAATTAAAAAAAATAAACATTTAAAACTATAATTAAATCAAAACCTAGTTTTTGCACAATAAACTACAAGAAACAGTGAAATTTTTATTTTTATTAGTTTCCAGTAATAAAGAAATTTCTGAATATATATATTTTTGATCAGCTTCAACAGGGCAGGCGATCTAGCCGTTTCCGTCCATCTATCCGTCCTTGGATGCCCCTAAATGAGAAAATCAAAATATGGAAGTCAAATTTGTTTGCTTAATTACTATAAATCGATACACTAATTAGTCCAAATCTTTCAAGTGAACCTCCACATTTCCGAAGGTGAAGTTTAATGGAACTACTTGGTGTGCCTCGACTATAAGACACCCGTTACTGAGTTTACCAATTTCATAATAAACCATTTTACGAAAGTTTTAGGACATCCGGCACTTCGACGTTCATACGGACATGGCTAGATCGACCCTGCTATTCAGCTTAATACCTGATTACATGCTTTATTGGGTCAGAAATCCATCTACTCGTTACATACTTTTCGACGAACACAATATAGCCTTCGAAATTAATAAGACAACTTTATTGGCTTTTAGAAATTCGAAGTCTTAGGAAAGCTATAAGGGTTACAAAATTCTATTTTTTTCTTTCTTTTTTGAAAAGTTGCACTCACTATTTATTTGTGAATGGTAAGAAATACTTGGTGATTTTTCGCTAAAAATTCATATTATATTTTATTTTAATACTACGTTTCTTTTGATGAAAGGAGCATAGTTTTTTTCTCTTCTAAAGATTATTTTTTTTTTATTTTTAATCGACATTTTTTGACAAGTTTTCCGTTAGTTATTTGGAATAATTATTTTCATTTGCATTGGGTTTTAAATACTAATTTTAATTAAATTAATTAAACCGAAATGGTATTACCCTCAAAAATATTTTAATATAATTAACTAACCTTATATTTCTTGCAGTGTATGTTACCATGTGCTGCCATCCAATACCCAACTCCGTCTGGGGGCGGCACTTTCTTTTTATGACTGCTCTGCTGCCGTCAAATAAGTGAAGCGCGAACTAATTGAAATTTGTTGCGCTGACTGCTCTACAAGATCTGCGTGCAGTTTGGAGTCGGAGAAGATGCTGCCCTTGTCGATCGTCTCCATCTCATTAGCCTTTTCCCGTCGTAGTTATTGTCTAATTTTAATTAATTTATCACAAACATAAAGTGGCGCAACTTCTGACATTTCCCCATCGTTGCCCCCGCAACAAATCACTCGCACGCCTCGTTGGCCGGGTAGGAAGTTATTAGGAGGGAGACATAAATTTCCACCCGGGATTCTTGGCATTGCCCGACAATCAAACGGAATTTACGACCGCTTCTCGAATATTCTTTTATTTTGACATGCTTAACAAACAGGCGAACTCGCAACAGCTCATTTTATTGGGTCGTTTGAATGCCACAGCAGGTACGAGCTATTTAATTGAGGCTAGAGATATCAGTAAGTAAACTTCCACTGATTCTTCCAGGTCTCCCGCTTGTAGACATTTTTGTAGGTCTGCACGGACACTTGAAACTCTGGACCGAACAGGGTGTTCGCAAGCACGTTCTCCACAGCCAGATTTCGATTGGTCACCGCGTGTACAATGAGCAACGGTTTGTTTACCTGAATAGTGATAAGATAATAATCTAATAATAATTAGGACATGAAAGGAAGCAAACTTCGGCAAGGCGAAGTTTATATACCCTTCCAGTTGTTACAAATCTACTACATTTCGATTTCTAATCCTATATTTCTAAAAACAATGAAGCTATGTCGATTTTGCGCTTCAATTGCCATAGTTTTTATGGCAGCTATATGATATTGATGTCCGATCTTAATTTAATTAAAACCGTAATTCCATAATAAATATTTATTACCAAATTCCAAATAACAACAAAAAAATTAAAAACAACAAAGTTATAATTCTTTCGAATTTTTTTTCAATTGTTCCTATGGGATATATAGTCGCCCGATCTGGCTCGTTCCGACTTATTACGAGCTGCAATAGAAAAACAACTTTTATAAAAATTTCCTGCAAATGGCTTTAAAACTGAGGGACTAGTTTGAGTAGAAACGAACGGACAGATGGACAGACGGACATGGCTAGATCGACTCTCCTGGTGATGCTGATCAAAAATATATATACTTTATAGGGTCGGAAATGTCTCCTCCACTGACTGAAATTATAATACCCTCTGCAAGGGTATAAAGACAGAAGATAGGAAGCTAACTTGATCAGTCATTGTGATTTCTAAATACATACTTGTATGTATTTTAAAATGTTGCCGTTACTTTTATTGTTTCGTAATAAATGATGTGGTTTTCTATAATCTATATCTTACCGGAATAGTTTTACCCTCGCTTTCAAAACGATGATCGGGGTTTTCGTGTGCACAATAGAAGTGGGTATGAGAGGTTGGTACCCGGGCAGACGGGCCGCAGTTCTATTGGTTACTATTCTATAATTTATATTATTTTAATAAAGAAATCAGGCAGACCTTGTAAGAGACCAAGCCTAGTGGTAGCGTCAACTCGCCGTTCTTGGTTGTAAAGAACGCCTTTTCCACGGGAAGCGAGAGGTTCAGCCTCTTGGGTCCGCTGAACACATACATTGGCTCATCGGAGGGATCCAGGGCCTGAAGGCGAAACTTCTCACCGTAGGCTAGATACTGACCAGAAAGGTCGTTTTCGTTTGGACTAACGATCCTGAAACTACTGCGCAGCGAGGGACGTGGCGAAGGCGCCACCGTGAGGTCGCACATTTCGTTGATGGTGTTGCAGTTGCGGTGCAGCCCCTCCTGGGTAATTACCACCGACAGGACCAGGTTCTGATCCAGCACCTGCTGACGGCATACATTGATTTTGACGGGCCGGAGTTGCACGACCACTCCGAAGGCGAGCACATCCTGTGGCGGACCTAGCACCGTTTCCTGGTAAAATCGGTCGTAGACGGCTCGGGTTCTGTCCAGCAGAAGGCTGCCGCTATCCCGGCGCTTTTTCATTTCGCTCACACGCATCTACGAAGCGGTTAGGGATACCAACAAGTAAAAAACTTATTTCATTTACACAAATTTTTATAGTTTTAAAACTAACTAATGGAGTTAAGCATATTAATTTGTTTTTAGGTATTCCTCAGAAGTTTTAATTTTACAATATAATCATTGTTGTCATATGGATTAGATGAAATCCATTGGACACTATTAAAAAACTATTAAAAAAATAATAATAACTAAGAAACCCATATCAGTTAATCTACGTAAAATACCAGAATATTATGGCTGACTGCTAAATTTAAAAATACCACTAATTGCTAAAATTGTAGTCACAAGATCTGGGTGATACCGATGGACAATGCTCACCTCCTCAGACAGGGCAGTTTCCAACCAGTTACCGACTCTCACCCCGGGACCGTACATTAGTCTGTAAAATATTTGCGGAGGAGGTTTTACCTTTAATACAGTGGTTTTGCAGGTGGTGTACAGTGGTCAAACCTTTCTAGCTTATATTGTAAAGTGTACTTTTTTTGTGAC